TCATTGTTGTTTAGCGGGCCCGGGCTGGATTCGAACCCGCCACCTTAGGTGTATGTGGCTGGCGCCTTAGCCACTTGAGCCACAGGCGCCGAGCCCACGCCATGTTTTATAGTCTGTCCCGTGGAGACAATCTGCTTGACAGATAACCCACCTTTCTCTTAGGTAACTGGCACTCCTCTCCCTTGTTTTTGCCCTGTGCTTGGATGTGAACTTCTAAAGCCCTGACTGTTGCATGGGAATGTCTTTGCTTTGTCTTCTTCCTGCTGAATTCCATGTGCTCCTTGAGGCTGTGCTGGTACCTGATAGGAAGGAGTTGGGCTTTCTCAGCAGGGTACCTGGGGGTGCCCAGGGTAAGCAGGAGGACCGGCTACCCTCTTATCCTGCCTGCCCGGTCACTGTGGGCTCCTGCCCAAGGATTCCTTTGGTCTTGGGTTCCTGAGTCTCCTGCAGTTAACGTTTTATTCACAATTAGGATGCGTTCCTGTTCCTAATGCCAGTTTTTCTCCTTTTTTTTTTAGGTGAACGAGGCCCCAAAGGAGAAAAAGGAGAGAAAGGAGACAGAGCCGGGGATGCCAGTAAGGAAATTCTCTGGGGGCCATGGAATACTGTGGGACAGGGATATTTATCCCCCAAAGAGCCGCATGAGTCTGGGGGACCAGAGGCTGGAGCTTTGGGCTAGGGCTAAAGTGTCACTGGAGCCTCTCAACTTGTTTTAGGGCTTTGCTGGTCTAGGAGGAGATACTGATAAGCCCAGGGCACAGGCCACGTTTCCAGAGAAGCTGTGAGCCTGGCAGTTGTGTGGATGGGTCTGGAGGCTCCTTGACCCCAGCTGCCCACTGGGTGGACATGTGCACTCTCTAGGCCTCTGTTGTCTAATCTGTGAAATGGATAAGCGTCTTACTGCATAGGGTCCTGGTGAGAATTAAATGAGTTAATCCAGGGGTCCTCAAATTTTTTAAACAGGGGGCCAGTTCACTGTCCCTCAGACCGTTGGAGGGCCGGACTGTGGGCCCCGGGACAAGTCGGCAGCTAAGCAGGACAGGCAGCAGTGGCAAAAACACCCAACAGGGCAGATAAATGTCCTAGGAGGGGGCTGCATGTGCCCCCACCCCCACCCTGCTGTAGTTTGAGGACACCTGAATTGTTAATCTATGTAAAATGCTTAGGATAGTTCTGGACACCTCAGTAAGTGTTAACAGGACTAAGTAAGTGTTAATTATTATTATTCCATGTAATCAGAATAATAAGTGTTAATAATTATTATTCTATGTAATCCTAAAGTCACTGAGGGTGCTTGCTAAGATGCCTCACCTCACTGGGTGTCCCCAGTGAACAGGGGCAGAGCCACCGTTAATTTCTTTTGTCTCCCTCCTCTTCCACTCACAGAGGAGAGAGGCTAGAGAGCTCTTGATCTGGCAGACCTCCTGCTGTAGGAACAGGCATCCTTCTGACGGGGATCCTTCCAAAAATGTTTATAAGGGCAGCCAGCTTATCTATCTATGCCACTCTTTTTTAGGGTTTGTGTTCCCTGCAGAGGGCTACATGTAGATTCTTGGAGAGATACCAGAGGAGAATGAACAGAATCTCTTAGCCAAGTTTCAAAAAAAAAAAAAACCAAAAACCAAAGAAACGCCACCACCACCCCAAACCAATATATCCCATCAGTTGGGCTCTGAAGGGGGCCATCCCATTTGCACATGCAAATTCTCCCCTCCTTGAGCTTCTGTGAGGACTGGACCTGGGGAAGTACTGCCTACGTCACAGGGTCTCTGGAGATACCCAGGGACAGGTACCACTGGAGAGTCACAAGCCAGTCCACGCTGAGGTCTCCTGAAGGCTGAGCTTGCTGGTTTTAGTAGGTCCTTCACGTGACACTTTCATCCCAGCCATGCAAGACCAGAAGGAGTCCTCAGTCCTGGAAAGGGCCGTCCCAAAGCCCCTGGACACTTTCCTGCTGCTCCCTCTGCCCTCCCTGTCCTGGGGCAGCACCTAAGGATCACGTGGGAACAACAGATGTGGCAGCACTTTGTCATCTAAAGTGAAGTTCCCACCAGAGGGAAAGCAAGGACGCCCCGGGCCTGTCCTGGGCTTCTAGTGCCTATCTCACCTGCGATGCTAAGATCCAGAGCTAGCCACACACTTCACAGTGTCCCTAGAGTCCCCCAGGGCCTCCCTGGGCGTGTCATGATGAGGCCATCTGGGAGACCCTGTCTAAGGCTCTTTTATCTAAAGGACCGGGTCCTGATTGTCATCTTTGGGGTGCTGCTTTCTCCTTGACTGCTTCTGAGAGAAGCCCACCAAGGTAGCAGGGGAGGATTGGGGCACTTAGTTCTGAGAAATAAATAACTCCAGGAAGGGAGGAGCTGCGTGGAAAGATGACTTTGAGAGGGAAATCAGAAATGCTGACCGCACACCAGAGGGGGCTCCTCGACAGGAATTCTTTGGCAGCTCTTCCTCCAGCTGACGTGAGAGAGGAGAGAGGAGAGAGGAGGTCAGAGCTAGCAGGGCGTTGCCATTGCTCAGAGGGACAGTCGGTCCCTGTTTGCCCTGCCTCTGTGGGCTCTGCACTTGGACTCGGCTCCCAGGCTGGGACATGGCATGAGGAGGTGGGAGCTGGAGCCACAGCCAGGGAGGGAAGGGGGGTGGGGAGGCTCCTCAGGGATGGGAGGGGTGGCTTGGGGGAAGGGCACCCCATCTACTTGGCCTTGAAGCCTATTGACTGTACAGTGCGAGGCTGATGTCAGCCCTGGACAGCTCTCCTCAGGGACTGAGGCTTTCTTTCCTGCCTCCAAGAGGCTACACCCTCGCTGGAGCCCAGAACTCAGACATGGGCTCAAGCTCTAAGCTTGCAAAGCACAAAGCTTTTCCTTCTTGCTCCCTGATTCTCCCGCCCCTCCGAAATGGTCACCATAGACAAAGAAATTGGAAAATGAGGGGTCTCTGCAGAGATGGCTGCATTGCCAGGAGGCTCTACCCTGAGAGGCATCCAGGAATTGCAGAACAGACATGGGCAGGCCACCTTCCCCTTTCCAGAGGCCCCGAGGGCGGGCTGACTTCCTCCGTCATTAGGCAGGATGAAGGCTAAGGAAGCACTTAGCCCCCGCTTTCCGCTAACTCTGGGATGAAAGTTTAGGGTGCAGCCTCCGGCAGAAGGGCTGGGCTCCCCCAAATGTCAAGGGAGCCCCTCTTTTCCTGGTAGCTCCGGCACAACCCAGGCTGACCAGAACCACAGAGGCTATTTAGGGCTGAGGTTTGAGCCTGCCCCACAGGGGGTTGTCTTCCCACGGCCTCCACTGCCCAGCTGGCCTCTGACCGCACCAAAGCCAAGCTATATTCAGACTCCTGCTTATGTTTCCGAGGAACTCCGGTCCCAGAGGTGTTAACTATATCCCTGAGACCCAGGCTCCAAGGAGAGTGCCAAGGCTCATCTTTCAGAAAAGTGCGGAAATTCTGATGGACACGGTGCCCACTTCTGGGGATTTCTTAGTCATTCCCTGGGCAAGCCCACTATGGGATCCACAGGATGGGAAGAAAGAGCTCTGAGCACCCAGGAGCTGCCCTCCTCCAAAAGCAACCCTGGGTCGGTCCTGGATAACCTGGCTTTGCCCAAGGCCATTAAACCTTCCCGAAAACTGCCCAAGTGCACCCCTTCAGTGCACAGCCAGCAGGTGAGGATGTCACTATGTTCAAGGGATTGGTGAGAGAACAAGATAGCTCCCCTTCCTTGGAACACAGCGGTTGGGGGTTTTCCTTTGTAGAAGGCATGACCCACAAGACTTCTCAGTCTGAATCAATACTAGAATATTTTTCAGGACAAAACTCTTGCCATTGTTTACCCATGTTTTGATCTGGAGTCCTAGGATTTGGGGATTGGATGGGTTTTAGATCAGTCTCTCTCTGTGTCTCCACCCCGCCCCATCCGTTCCATGAACAGAGACCAACAATAGAGAGACCGAGGGAATCCCCATGGTCACCTGCTTAGGTCATGGCCAAACTGGGTCTGGAATCCAGCTCTCCTGGTTTCTGCTTGATAAGAAACAAAGATTTTGGGTTTTTTTGTTTTTTTCAGGCCAGGATTTGATGGCAGTCATTCCCTTAGATGTTTGGCTTTTGGAAGTTTAGCCAAAAAAATTACATATACACTTTTCAAGAGAGAAAGATATTTGTTTTCTCCCAGGTTATGGTCCGTTTGCAAGAAAAATAAATAGTATTTTTGCAACGAAGGGGTGGGTAAAGGATTTGGTTTTGTTTAGGTCCCACAGCGTGAATTTAAAGCAGGATATAAGTTCAGATTGTTTAAAAAACGTTCCTCAATTTGGTTTCACATGGATAAAATATGCAGATGACACAGTAAATTCTAAGCCAGTGCTTGTAGATAGTTACCATTGGTGGCTCAGAACCCTTGAAAAATGTTTAATGCTTTGTGTGCGATTGTCAATATTTAGGGAAGTGAGTTTGGGTCTGGGGACCCAGCAGAAACCCCAGTGTCCAGCGTAAACTCAGAAATGATCAGGGGAGGCCAGGCACAGCGGCTCACATCTGTAATCCTAGCACTGTAGAAGGCCATGGCTGAAGGCTCCCTTAAGCTCAGGAGTTTGAGACCAGCTTGAGCAAAGTGAGACCTCATCTCTATTGAAAAATAGAAAACCTAGTCAGGCATGATGGTGGGTGCCTATAGTCCCAGCTACTTGGGAGGCTAAGGCAGGGGGATTGCTTTGAGTCCAGGAGTTGGAGGTTGCTGTGAGGCCGTGGCAGTCTAACCCAAGCAACAGAGTGAGACTCTTCTCTAAAAACAAACAAACAAAGCCATAAAACGAATCAGGGAGGGAGTTTCTAGGCAGTGTTTTTCTAGCTGATGAGATGTTTCCATCTCTATGTTAGAATGAAAGAGGCAAAGAGAGTGCTGTGGGCCATAGGAAAGGTGGGTGCAAAGCCTAGTTTTGCGTCCTGTTGGGGGGCAGTTTGGGGAAGTTTCTTTGACCCATGTCTTGAAGGGTAAGTTGATGTCTAGCAGGTGGATGTGGACGGTGAGAGCATCATGCAGATTCAAGAGGATCTGAACAATTAAAGCCCCCTTTGAGAAGTCGGGGGTAAAATCAGGGTGTATGGCAGGGTGGTGGGGATGCTGAGAGCCTGACATAGCTGAGCCAGTGACAGTACATTATCTCTTTAAAAGATGCTTCCGAAAATAAAATAAAATAAAATAAAAGATGTTTCCGCATCCCTGGCCAGAGGGAGGGACACAAGCCCTGGCCCAGCGTCCTGGCCAGGGAAACACGCTTAGGTAAGGAGAAATGAAGTCTCCTCTTGGTAATCCTAAGAGGTCATTAACAGGACTGCTGAAATTTGTCTTCTGAACATGTGTTAAGTGAAGGCAGGAGCCAGGGCTGAAGCCTGAGCACTGCTAGTTGGAAGAAAATCAGCGAGGCAGGGATTGGGGTTTATGCTGAGAGCGAGCAGTCGGGTGAGTGCAGCCACGTGGTTTTGCTGCGTTGACCGTGATTCTAGTGGGCATTTCTCGCTTGTAGGTCAAAGTTACCGGTTTGTTCCCTGTATCCCTGTTCTCTTTATGCTT